TCAGCTCCTCCCGTCTCCCTGTGCTCCCAGGTCCTGGTCCAGGGCACCGTCTTTGCCCGCATGGCCCCTGAGCAGAAGACAGAACTGGTGTGCGAGCTGCAGAAGCTTCAGTGAGTGCGTGTGGGTGAGGGGCCTGTGGGGGGCAAGCTGGTCCCCAAGTCCCTGCCTCCCACCTCAGGCATTAGAGAGCCATCACCTTCAAAGAGAACCCCAGCAGGCTCCTAGAAGTAGCCATTGCACCAATTTACTCACCCGCCACGTGTACCAGGCACCCAGCGGGCAGCAGGGAGCCAGCCATCCCCGGGTTCTGCCCGGTGAGGTGGGCAGGGTCATTTCACAGATGGGGAGGCACCTCACAGGCCCAGAGCCAGTGCGTGAACCTGGGCCCCGCCTGCCCGTGCCTCTCTGTCAGGTACTGCGTGGGCATGTGTGGGGATGGCGCCAATGACTGCGGGGCCCTGAAGGCGGCCGACGTGGGCATCTCGCTCTCCCAGGCCGAGGCCTCTGTGGTCTCATCCTTCACCTCGAGCGTGGCCAGCATTGAGTGTGTGCCCATGGTCATCAGGTGAGACGGGCAGGGGGCTGGCAGGTGGGGGCTCGGCAGGGCCCGTCAGCCAGCCTGGGCCCCTAATGCCCCTACCCCGCTACCCAGGGAGGGTCGCTGCTCCCTTGACACGTCCTTCAGCGTCTTCAAGTACATGGCCCTGTACAGCCTGACGCAGTTCATCTCCGTCTTGATCCTCTACACGGTGAGTGTCGGCAGAGCCCCCTGCACAGAGCCCTGTCCGAGAGCAGGCCCAGGGCAGGGACACTCAGCAGAGTGGTTAGGAGCCTGTAGGTTCTGGAATAGATGGCGTGGCCTCAAATCCTGCTCTGCCCCTTTCTGGCTGTGTGGCTTGGGCGACTCCTGAGCTGCGGGAGGCGAGGCTTGAATGAGATGATGAAAATGCTGAGCACAGAGCCTGGTGCACAGTAGTCCTCAGAAACGGGAGCCACTGTCCTCCAGGAGCTCCCCGTCTGCAGGGGAGACTGAGGCAGAGCCCAGGCAGGGGTGAAGGAGGTGGAGCAGGAGCGGGACAGAGCCCAGGCCCCTGCCTCCCTCCCCCGGACCCACCCATTTCCCCACTCGCCCGGCCCGGACCTTGGCTGGGGCTCCCACACCCTACTCAGAGGGCGTCTCCCTGCCTGCTCTGAGCATGCGCTTCTCACCCCACTGAAAGCAAGTGACGCAGCGGGGCCATGCAGCTCTTGTCCCTGTAAATCTAGGAGTTTCCCAAGGGCGGGAACTGTGTGCCCCCAGTAACCTAGGGGCTCCAGAAGGCAGAGCCTACGCCTCCCCCTCAGGCTGTGGGTGCCCTGCGGGTAGAGGAACCTGTTCCAGCAGATTGTGGCCTCCCAAGGCCAGCTCAGACTGGGAGAGGGGCTCCCTGAAGGCAGTGCAGTGTCTCTTCCATCAGACTGGGGGCTCCCCAAGGGCAGGAGGGTGCTGCCCCCCATCAGATTGGAGGGCAAGGATACTTTCCCCATCAGACCCCTCACAGACAGGACTGGTACCTCCCCTATCAGACTAGGGGCTACGCTGGGGCTGGGGCTGGGCTGGGGCCAAGTCTCAGTTTCCCCTCTGCCCGCCCTCCCCTGCCGGCAGATCAACACCAACCTGGGTGACCTGCAGTTCCTGGCCATCGACCTGGTCATCACCACCACCGTGGCGGTGCTCATGAGCCGCACAGGGCCGGCGCTGGTGCTGGGGCAGGCGCGGCCGCCGGGGGCGCTGCTCAGCGTGCCTGTGCTGAGCAGCCTGCTGCTGCAGGTGGTCCTGGTGGCTGGTGTGCAGCTGGGGGGCTACTTCCTGATGGTGGCCCAGCCCTGGTGAGTAGGGAGCCCACCCCCAAATCCCACCCCACCCCGTCCTCTCATACTCGTTCCCTGACCCCCAATCCCTGTACCCCCAGGTTTGTGCCGCTGAACAGGACAGTGCCCGCACCAGACAACCTGCCCAACTATGAGAACACAGTGGTCTTCTCTCTGTCCAGCTTCCAGTACCTCATCCTGGCCGCAGCCGTGTCCAAGGGGGCGCCCTTCCGCCGGCCGCTCTACACCAACGGTGCTGCCACGTGTGGGGCTGGTGTGGGTGGAGGGGGAGGAGTCTGTGGGGGGCTGGTATGGGAGTGTTCTGGGGCTCCCTGGCCTGAGAGACTCCTCCACCCCCAGTGCCCTTCCTGGTGGCCCTGGCGCTCCTGAGCTCTGTCCTGGTGGGCCTCCTCCTGGTCCCCGGCCTCCTGCAGGGGCCGCTGGCGCTGAGGAACATCCCCGACACCTGCTTCAAGCTGCTACTGCTGGGCCTGGTCGCCTTCAACTTCGTGGGGGCCTTCATGCTGGAGGTGGGGCCTGCCCCAGGTTGGGGTTGGAGGGGGGCGCCGGGGGTGGGACTCAGCCACAGCTGCCCCTCTGCGCCCTCCCTGTCCTCTGCAGTGCGTGCTGGACCAGTGCCTCCCGGCCTGCCTGCAGCGGCTCCGGCCCAAACGGGCCTCCAAGAAGCGTTTCAAGCAGCTAGAGCGGGAGCTGGCCGAGCAGCCATGGCCGCCGCCCCCGGGGCCCGGGAGGTAATGCAGGCCCTGCCCGGCACACCGGACACTGGATCTCCCTGCCTCTGAGCCACGACTGGGACCGTCTCCAGAGACACCACCGCCGTCACTCCCGCAGCCCTGTGTTGGCGGTTGTCACACTCCTGTTCCACATCTGCTGGGCCCAGCCTTCCCTGCCCTCACCTGGGGAAATGCTAACTATTGTCCCCCTCCCCAGACCATCCCGCGTAGAGACGGCAGCCACCCACCCCACTCAGCCTGCGGTCAGTGTAGCAAATAAAGTCATAATATTTTCCTGGCTCGACTGTGCCTGTCTCCTACCAGGGCCCACTGACCTGGGTGCCCAGCTGGCAGCCCCTGGCATGTGTCTGCTCCCAGCACCCCCCGACTTTTCAGATCACCTTGCAAAAGTCCCCTCTCTGGGCCTCCGTTTCCTTGTCTGACAGTAATACTATTTCTGAGTTGCGACGTGCCTGGGACTCTGTTAAGCATTTTATATGCGTTGTCGTTTAACCCCCACAACTGTAGAGACCTGTCCCCATTTTACAGATAAGGAAACTGAGGGTTAGAGATTGCACGAGTGGTCACAGGTGGGGCCAGATCACTTTGACTCCAGTGTCCACACTCGTAACCTCCCTGCCCTCGGGGGCAGGAAAAGAACAGACTTGCCTCGACAAGTGCCGCTGGGTGCCATCGCCAAGAGGCATTTAACTGGGGCAGTTCCCTTCTCTCCTCCCTGCCACCCCCCACATCCTGGGACGTGTTTGTGGTCCGGTTCCTCCCTCAGATGAAAATGCATGCTCTGAGCCCTCGTCTCCCAGCCAGAACCACATGCACTGTCCCCCGGGGAAGGGTGGGTGCTTCTGACCTCACTCCACCAGTGGGACACTAGCCAGGGCCTACTCTGGAGATGCAACTCAGTCATCTGGCCCATCTTGCTGGGCAGAGGAGAACAGGAAAGAAAGACTGTGTCCTGTCCTCCAAGAGCCCCCGCCAACCTCATTACTGGAAACCCTGGCGCCGTCCCCAGGCCTGCCCTAGAAGGAGCCCAGTAAGTGTTGAATCAAACGGGAGAAGGGACATGGGGCATGACAAGGTAACTCATAATATCAGGCACATCCACAGGCCTGCTCTGGGCGCTAAGTCCTCAGCCAGCAACAGTGCAGGGAGGGCAGATGCTGTTCAAGGGAGGCCAGAGGACACAGGGAGAGGCCTGGGTTCGAATCTCTCCTCTACCCTTAGCCAACTCTTCATGCATTTACTGGGCAGTCATGTGCCAGGCACAGGGGCTACAGCGTGAACAGCAACATGGCCTCTGCCCGTGGGCCGCTTATAACCCGGCATGATAGGCGGGCAGGGAGGGAGCAAATCTCCAAGGACATTGGAAGAAGAGCTCCCACACCCACGACCCCCTCCCGGAAGAGCCGCCACCTCTGCCTGGGTCCTTAGGGCCAGTGGATAGAAGCAGCACAGAGGATCTGGGAGCCAGAACACGATTTGGCAGCTTCAGAGCCTCAGTTTCCCCCCAAGTGTAGGGGACAGCATTTCCGCCAGGCAGTTCCCCCTCCTACCCTCCTGGATTGCACCTGGCTGCAGTGAGGGGCTAAGGGAGGGCACAAAGGGCTGGCCCGGCCCACAGGGCCCACAGTGCTCCAGGGGACAACAGTCACTGCTACATTGTGATAGACACTGGAGGGGGGCTGGCAGATAGTTATTCATTCATTCATTCAACAAACCAGCTGGGGAACAAATGATGCATGGGACATGTTTAGTCCCTGTCGAATAGGATTCAGGGTCTAAGGGACAGGCAGTTGTGGGCGGCATGACTGGGGGCAAGGAGATCTGAAGCTCCGGGGCAGGCAGGGCTGAGGACTGCCCAGAGGGAGGGGCCTGCCCCCCCACCCAGCCAGTCTCTCCCAGGAGAATTGAGAGTACATTCATTCATACCACAAATGTTACTAACAGCTGCTCTGAGCCTGGCACTGTGCCTAAAGAGCAAAAACTGAGGATAAGCAAAAACAGACCTTGTCCCTGTCTTCATGTGGCTGACAGGCTCGTTGGGGAGACGGGCAGGATCTAAACCATCACAGGCACAGGGCAGACTGACAGCTGTGAGCAGTAAAGCAGAAGGTGCTTAAAATCATAAGGGAGAAAGGGAAAGCTCCTCAGAGCAAGGGACGGTTTGATCTATAACCTGAAGAAGGTGGACCCTACCAGTGTTCCAGGAGGAAGAAACAGTTTGAGCAAAGGCCCTGTGGTCTTTATGGCAGAGGAAAGGGTTAATAAGACTCCCAAAAGGCCATGTGGCTGGAGGCAGAGCCAGACCACGATGAAGGGAAGGGCTCTTGGAGGCCACAAGGTAGCTTACCCTTGATCCTAGGTACTAGAGAAACTAGCGGAAGGCTTTAAGTAGAAGGGAGCCCTGGCTGAGGTGGGTGGGGGAGGGCAGCGCCCACTTGGGAAGGCCCAGATTGGAGATTATTACAGAGTCCAGACAAGAGACGTTGGAGGCTTACACCACGGTGGGGGCAGGGGACAGACTCAAAGATGTTTGTGAGGCAGGATTAGTGGGCGGATGCTGGACTGCAGGGAGGGCTGGGGGCAGGGGAGGAAGCCTGGGTAACAGAAGGATGGTGGGGCCTTCCCAGAATGGGGGAGGGTCGGGAGGTCGTGAATTTGGACTTGGATCCTTGTTGAATCTCATGTGCCTTGGGGACATTCGTGGTGCCAGGCCCGGTAGTCCCGTAGCCCGTGGGCTGAAAGAAACGCTGGTTATGGACGTAGTCTCCATCCGCCCAGAGCGGGCTAAGGAGACCCAGAAGGCACAGCCAGAGAGGCAGGAGGAAAACCAGGCCGGGGAGGGTGTCCCGGAAGCCAGAGGGGAGAGCAAGGCTTACTTCTAGCTGAGTGGCCGTGGGTGAATCGCTTTATGAGCCTCGGTTTCCTCCTCTGTAAAATGGGGGTAACACAGCCACCTCGCCCACCGCACAACGTTGACTGCGGGCCACACGTGCTGAGGAGACGAGGAGGGAGCCTTCTGCACCGTGTAAAGGGCCGACAGACGTGCGGACGGCCCGGCGGGCGCCTCCTCCCCGCAGGGCCGCCCCCAGAAGAGGGTGAAGCCCCGAGGGCGCAGCGTGGCGGCCTGGGCGGCGGCGCTCGCGTTAGGACCCAGCGGATCCGGGGCTGGAGGGCGGGCGCCGGCCCCGTCGGGGGCCCGGAGGGGGGCTCGGAGCGGGC